ATGTGCCTAAGAGGCTGTGGTGAGAACTAAATGAGTGGCTATGAGTGAAGAGCTTAGGACATTGCCTGGCATCATAGGAGGCTCTACAAAACCATTTGTTCTTACCATGAATAATTATTATTCTTTGTTGTGATTCTGATTACTTTTTTTGTATATTGAATTCGGAGTTGGCAGACTACTTCACCATCCCTCTCACAACTGTCCTATAAAAAAAGGTTTGGAATCCCAGAGTCAGTTGCAAGGAATCAGGCCTTTTCCCCTGCAGTGGATGGTATGCAGTGGTCTTTCCAAAATGGCAACGTTCACAAATGTTGAAGTGGGCAAGTGGAATGCCCAGACGCTTGATCCCTCTCATCACAAATATTGCTCCTGCCCAAGTTTACACAGAACAATCCTATTTAAACGAGGGGGCATGTATGCCCTGTGGTCAACTCAAAAGACCACGCTGGAGCCTTTCACTTTGAGTGTCTTTGAACCGAGAGCCCTGTGTCGAGGGAGTGGTTTGCCGTACTTCCCAAGGAGCCAGATTTGATCCTGCACTGGCTGCTGTTCTGTCCTCTGGAGGCCACCTCTGGTCTTCCATAGTCAGTAGGGTCCCCTCTCACCACTTCCAGGGGGCTACCCAGGATGAAAAGAGTGGATGTCTCCAAGATCAGGCAGAATTCTGCTTTGCTCACTTCTCATTCTGAGTTAGTCAGTTTTTGCTTTGCAATGTAGCACATTCTTGCTTAGACTCTTTGAATGAACAGACATGTATGATCACCTGATCTGCCCCCTCATTGAGGATGTGGGTTAAGGTGATGCACTCAAGGCCATACAGCATTCACTCATTCATTAAACAAATATTTACTGTGACTGGGTGGTCTGCAGGGTTTGTATTAATATCAGTGGCAGAGCAGGACTGGAATCTAGTCTTCCTATTTCTGATCCAGCATTCCTTCTCCCAAGTCCTGTGGCCTCTCATAACTACCCTCTTCCCCACAATGATCTGTCTCCTTGCAGCTATGGGATATTAATTCTCAAATGTGGATGTTACCTCTGAGTCTGTATAATGGGAAACATGATACATGTAAAAGATAGAAGGTCCCAAAACATGTACACAAAGGCATCATGTTTTCCCCAAATCTACCAGAATGTCATAGGAATCAAACTCAGATTCGACCTGAACATTCATTCATTCAGTAGAAAAAAGCAGTAGATAGCCTACCTGGATTGGATACATCTCCAATGGATAGAGTGTTCTTTCAGGTACTAGGGATCGGGAGATAGTAGGGTGTAGAGTGGAAAGGATGTGGAGTGAGGCAGCCTTGGGCTTGCTTGGAGGTTCCACCATTTTCCAGCTTTGTGACATGAAATAGTGTATTTCTCTAAGCTTCAATTTGATTCCCTGAGTCTTACTCTCTTATTTTATTTTTCTTCCTTTCTCTAGGATGGAAAATAAATCCCATGCCAGTGCCCATCATGGGTGGCTCTTCTTAGAAAAGCATCCCAAGCCTTGCCTATACTCAGCATAAAAGAATATTCTGGCCCAGGAGGGTATCAAAGGGTGAAAGAGTGGCCTGAGGTTCTGGGAGCCTTTTTTCTCTTGCTGCTTCATCTATAGTATGTAAGACAACAGACATCAATTGTATCAGACCCTTTATGGGATATAGTAGGAGGTAAAAACCGGAGTACATCAGAGACCCTGTCCACAATCTATATTGTGGAATAGTTGAGATATCTCAAATAACCATAAGAAAAGGCACAGTGTGCTCTTAACTATAAGTATTGATAAGAATAGAAATCCCTCCCCAAATTAAGATGGTACTATTATTGTTGTTGTTTAGTTGCTCAGTCTCGTCCGACTCTTTGCACCTATGGACTGTAGCCCACCAGGCTCCTCTGTCTATGGGATTTCTCTGGAATACTGGAGTGGATTGCCATTTCCTTCTCCAGAGGATTTTCCCGACCCAGGGATCGAACCTGCATCTCCTGCATTGGTGTACATGCATGTTAAGTCATGCAGGCAGATTCTTTACCACTGGGCCACCAAATGATACTGTACTGTCTTCTTTTGCCCTGAGTTTCATACTTGGTTCAGTTCAACAAAATCTCTGTACTGGCCAGGTGTCAGGCCCCCAGCGAGGGGCTGGGCAGTCCAGTGGGGATCAAACACAGGCCTTGCCCTCAATTGCTGCTTCCAGCAAGAGTCCTCAGATCTTTGTAAAGCTGTCTGCTGGAGGCCAGGGACTTGGTCTTTCTTGGCTCTGTGTTGGTGTGTCCCCTCAAACCGTCCCACAGCCAGGAGGAGAGAGCGCAAACATTTTTCCTGGAAAGGCGTTAACATTGAGGCATGGCAGCTGGAATTGGCACAGTGCCTTCGGAAGGTTGGAGAAGTGATTTGTTTTTCCAGTCTCACCGCGGGAGCCGAAGCCCTGGCAGAGGCCTCCATGCCTTAGCGGTGACTGAGCCAGATGAGATCATTATTAATTATTAGTCACTTTCGAGTGTCTTTCTTAGAAACTACAGAGCATTCGGGAAGCCCAGCCTCTCCTGAATTGAAATCAGTACTGTGTACACCTTGCATAGAGACCGGAGTGGCATGTCATTATCAAACAGTATCGATTCCTAAAAAGGGGGTTGGAAATGTACACGTCCCTTGCAGAAAAATCTGCTAAATTGTCAAAAGCCTTGATTATATTTTTTTCCTCAAGAAAGAGACTAATGGTAGGAGTAAAAAAAGCTTGAAATGTTAGCTAAATTAGGGCTGTTTCCTGCCAGGAGCCAGATCTGTACACATAATTATTTTATTCTCTGTGCTGGCATTGATTCACTTTGGTTAAGTGTTGGAAATATCTCTGTTTTGGGTCTTTAATCCGAATTATTCAGTCAGTTCATATGATGATGTTTTCTACTCCCATCCTCCTGTATTATTTTTCTGTAAAACAAATAATCACTTGTCTGGAACTTGACTCATTTCTATTCCCCAGCACATGCCTCATCCCTTCCCTAAACTTCTGTATCACACCATCTGCCATGCTCCTGGGCCAGAAATTCACTCACCACTCAGCCTCACACGCCCCACAGTCACCAAATTCTGCCCATTTTATTTGTGCCTAATGCTAATTTCTTCTTCTAAGTTGACGTCCACTACAGTCCTCGCACTGACTGGAAATCCAGACAGTTGTTTAGTTTTTCTTCCTTTTGCCTGTGTCTCGACTGCGATAACAAACATGGACTCTCTGGCTGCCTTTGCTTAGCTCGTGGGTGCCCTGGACCCATCAAATGGCCACACATTGCATTCTCAGCTTCTGGTCCTGCCCATTTCGAGGGGCATCTGCATTTTGAAAATGCAGATCTGGTCAATACATTTGATGGCATGTACCTGTAGTCTTCCAGAAGCTCCCCATCACCTGCTGTCTAAGATGGACAAGCAACTCTTATTCTGGAAGTGATAGACATTGAGTCTCAAATGATCCTTGGAGGTTATTGAAAGAGAGCAGGTCTAGAGGATTGCAGGTGCCAAGAAGAGGCTCCTTTGGGAAGCTTTCAATATCTGTCATTGGTTTGGCTGGGGCTGGAACAAAGTTTTTGTAGTAGAGAGCTGTTTTCCAGGTATTTTAGAGCCAGCTCATCAATATGATACAGTCACAGTCCATCTTATCTTGGATACTCATGTTTCTTCAGCCAAGTGCTATTGAGACAAGGGAAGAGCATCTCTGGTCAGCCCCTCCAAACCCCATATTTGAGGAAGAAGAAATCCTGATGTCAGTACTGGGCTCCTACCCAAAGAGACTTCAGTATTTCTCCAAAGGCGTGTGGTCAGGGAAAATACTTTGTAATGTATGTGTGTCCCATACATTGTGGGGTGTTTAGCATCCCTGGCTAATTGCCGGTCATGACCCCGCAGACACTGGAACAACCAGAAAATCTTCTACATGCCCCTGCACATGCCACATGCTCCAGGGATTGGGGAATGGTACCATCCCTGGCTGAGAAACCTTGGCTGCTGTCACTACTCCTAAGATGTTCTCTTTTACTGAGAGTATAATGAAGAGCTGGATTAATTATGATCTGTCACTCCTGTTGCCTCTTCATCTTCTGTACTGATGGAGTTCAGACTGGAGTCATGTTGTCAGGCTTTCAAATCAAGCTTTAGCATTTACTCAATATGACCTTGCATATGAGTATGACCTTGAACAACTACTTAATCTCTCCATGCCTCTGTTTTCTTATTTAATGGGGGATAATAGTACTATAGTATCTATCTCAGAAAATTTTTGTGAAAATTAAATAAGATAAAGTATGAAAAGTGCTTGCCACGGTGTCACTTTCAGAGGTATGATTATATGAGATGATGGTTCCTGAGCTCACAGTCTTACTTGAGTGACAAGTTGAAATTCACACTTACTTGTGAACACTCCAGAAAAGAAAGACAACATGGTATATTAGAAGGGGGAATGGACTACTTGGGAGTCTGGATTCTGTTGCACCCTCAGCCATCATTACTGTGCAGCCTTGAACATGTCATTTCACTTCTCTGGTTTTTACTGTCTTCATCTGTATATGCCCTGGTGGCTTAGTCACTAAGTCAGTCATGCTCAACTTTTACAATCCCATGGACTGTAACCCGCCAAGCTCCTCTGTCCATGGAATTTTCCAGGCAAGAATGCTGGAGTGGGTTGCCATCCCCTTCTCCAGGGAATCTTCCCAACCCAAGAACTGAACGCAGGTCTCCTAAAACTATCCATCTGTGTTACCCATCCCTGATTTGAAAACCCCCATCAGCCAGCTGGGGGGAAGCTCTGAACGGGAACTTCTTGGGAGACGGATAAACCTGGGGAGCTCACCTGTGTGATAAATACTGAATTGCTGTTGCCCCATCCTGACCCGTGTGTCCCCAGATAGCACAGGTGAGAGGCCCTCAGGCGTGCAGGCATCTCGTGGACAGTCAGTCACGTCCACAGCTCTGCAGCTCTCCCTGCTGATTTCCTTCATGGTCGTCTGCTTTTCCCCCACAGCAACAAAGGCGAGAGAAGGAGCTGCGGAAACAGCAAGAGAGGGAGCAGCGCAGGCACTATGAGGAGCAGATGCGCCGGGAAGAGGAGAGGAGGCGCGCAGAGCACGAGCAGGTACCGCGGGGACCTGGGAGCCCTGCCGACGGCCCCGCGTGGACACCAGCGCCAGCCGCCTCTGGGCTGCGGGTCACCTTCGCTTAGGTCTGCTCGGGTTAAGCCGGTTTTTACTCTTGCTCCAGCAACTATTCTCACCTATTCAAGAAGTCAAATGCACAACCTGGGCAAAGCCTGCTCATTCAACCTGGCTTCCTCCCCAAGCCGAAGTCCCCTGACACCTTGATTTCATGCTTCTCCCAGGCCAGGGCACCTGCCTTGAGAGTGGCACTGAGGCATGATAAATGAGCCAAGTCCTCCTCTTTCATCGCTTCAGAAGCGCTTTCCTACTCACACTGCTCTGGTCTCCATGACTCTGAGCCATCGATGCAGGCCCTTTCTCTCTTTGTTAGAATCATGTTCAGACAGCGCAGTGAAACTGCAGGATGGTTTCTTTACAAAGACAGTTCATGACGGCATTCAGCCATTATTTTATCCCCACTGCTTACAACGAGGAGCGTCTGAACTGTACAGCCTTGTTCATTTCAGGTAGCCCATAAAGAGGGAGCCTATGATGAAAAGTTTGAAAATAAGCTGGGTTCTCGGGACTTCCCAGTGGTTAAGACTCCATGCTGCTGCTGCAGGGGGCACAGGTTCGAGCCCTGGTCTGGGAACTAAGATGCCACATGGCCAAAAAATAAAAAATACATGGATAATACTTTAACCACAACACCAGCAAAAGCTGGGTTCTCAAAACCAGATCGTCACAGCAAAGCATTGAGCTGTCTCCATCCGCTGCTGTTGTGCCTTTGACTGCACTGACGTGCTTTTGCTGTGGTGCAGGGTATCTTTCCTGTTTACTGAAGAGGTGTTGGGGTATGTTTTTTCCCTCCTTTCTTCCACACTTCACTTGGCAGTGTCTTCTCACCTTTGAAATGACTGGTTCTGTCTCTCTCCCTCTCCCTCTCGTGTTCCGCTGCGTTCTCTGCTGCCTGCCTCTCCAGGAGTACATCAGGCGACAGCTGGAGGAGGAGCAGAGGCAGCTAGAGATCTTGCAACAGCAGCTGCTGCATGAGCAAGCTCTACTTCTGGTAATGGGAACGCCCAGCTGGTCTGCTCCGTGTCCATCTCGTGTGCGTGTGTGTGTGTGGTCTCTCACGTGCCGGTCAGGAAACGGGGACCCACCCAGCCTCCTGGGCCTGGAGCGTCTGCTAAAACGTAATGAGTTTCCTGACCCAGGGTGCCGAGTCACAACTTTGAATATACTTGTTGCCCATTCTTTATTAACGCCAGCCGTTTGCAAAACTTCACCGTGAATCCAGTCTGAGTCCAAGTTCGGGCTGTTTCTGAGACCCACTGTGTTTATTGCCGAGTAATGTTCGCAGTCATTTGCAACATGCTGGAATACAATCACAGCAGACTATCCCTCATCCGTAGGAAACCACTCAGCTCTGGAGTCATATTTCATTTGCAGACTATTAGTTTTACCCTCACGATGGGAACATTTTGTGTGCCCTGCTCAGGTAGCTTCCACTTGAAGTGTTTTTGGGGGTTTTTTTTTGTTTGCTTTTTTTTTTTNCATCTCCTTTTCTTCCATTGCATGCTTCCCTGGTACTGACCAATGGTTTCCCTATGGTAATGTAGCCTTTTCTTTATTCTCCTTTCCTGATCTGGACAGGAATATAAGCGCAAGCAGTTGGAAGAACAGAGACAAGCAGAAAGGCTACAGAGACAACTAAAGCAAGAGAGAGACTACTTGGTTTCCCTTCAGCATCAGCGGCAGGAGCAGAGGCCTGTGGAGAAGAAGCCACTGTATCATTACAAAGAAGGGATGAGTCCTAGTGAGAAACCAGCATGGGCCAAGGAGGTAAGTAAGCCAACAAGTGCACCTGTACCTACACTGCCTTGAGCATATGGGCCATAACGAGTTTCTCCTGTAGAAACAGAAAGTTAAACTACAAAGCTGGAAAATAACTTTTGTGAGACACACATGCTTTGTTTGGGGAAGAATTATAACCTTATTTCTACACCTCAATCCATTTGTGGTTCTTTTTTGTTAAGTAACAGCAGGAAGCAGAAAATCTTTTTCTGTATTGGAATCCAATTGAGTTTGTGGCTGGAGAATTTTTAGTGGAAGGATGTGATTTAAGACTTAAGGAGTTTTAGGTAGGATCATTTCCTATCCGTACCTAGACCCTGAAACTGATCCTTAGTATTGTCACTAATATCCTATTTTCTTCTGTGGTACCAGTGAAGACACAGTTGGTCCCAGACTTGTGGTTGTGGTTCACTTACAGGGTTGGAGGTCATTTATATTTTTTACAAATACTTTCATGGGAATGATCCTTCATTTGCTCAACTACTAGACTAAAGAAGGGTTAGGGTTAGCACCTACTCATTTCCTTTATTTGCCTGTAAGCATAACTAGTCATTCAAAAGAGTGATTTATATTACTTTACATATTGTCCTAGTATCTTCAGATATTTATAGCTAGAGCTTATTTCAAGTTATCTAGACTACAGTATTACTAGAACTGGATTTCTTAACATAAGACCCTATTTTTATAAGTTTTTTTATTTTCTGTTCTATCTTACACATGTATAGAAAACACTTGAAATTATGTTGTCCTGATATAAAAAATGGTTGTGTATGAGGAGTAGAAACTACACAGTCTTTTCTTTAAGCTTTTTGTTTAAATCCTTTATGATTGTGTACTATTTTTTATAAAACTGGTAACTTTTTTCTTTTAAAACTTAAACACTAAATCTGTAGAGAAAATCATTCAGTTCAATATAAAGAACATTTTTGATCACTTTCCCTCAAAGTCTGTAAACGTGATTTGTATTTACCTATGTCTGTAAGAATTGCCTCTTTCCCCCAGGTCAGTAATTCAGTTTTGTGATCCTACCCACAGGTATAGCACCAACCCCTTAACAACTCATCTGTTCTTCCAGTTAAGCAGAATCACTGCTGTTAAACGGCAGCTGACATGCTTCCTGGCTAGCAAAGATGTGCCACTTTCCTCCACTGCTAAACCATGCCAAGCTGAAACCCTCAGCTAAGGCAGATTCACAGCTCCTGATCGTGGCAGATGTTCAGAAGCCTGAAAAACTAGCCTCTGCTAAGTTAATACCAGTAGCACCTACAGCAATTAATGATTCCAGATCAGGACTCCGGTTTGAGCATCACTCACGGAAGAAAGATGAAACAGCTTATCCTATTAGACTTGGTCTTGAAGATCAACTGAAGCCTCAGGGAGCTTCAAGGACCACAGTGAGATCAACAAAGTGATCTCTCCCCCAAGGATGTAGCCCACCTTGAGAGTCAGGACCCCAAGTCATGTGTGTGTCCTTTTCCAACATCTCCAAAGTGATGAGCCCCCAGTTGTCTATTACTGCAAGTAAGAAGGGCCTAGAGACCCACGTGGACCTCGGGGCATGAACTCATGCATCCATACGCTAAATGACCTCTCTTGGATGCATGACCACCTGTCCTTCAGAGCTCCCAACCCCAAGCATAAGTTTAGGAAAGGGACACCTGCAGATCCCTCCTGACACCACCTGGAGAGGACTGAGATGCCTTGTAAAGCATACCAGAATCTCCTTTCCCCTGGGCAGCTCCCTCATACACAAATGAGAAGAAAGATGAAACAGCTTATCCTATTAGACTTGGTCTTGAAGATCAACTGAAGCCTCAGGGAGCTTCAAGGACCACAGTGAGATCAACAAAGTGATCTCTCCCCCAAGGATGTAGCCCACCTCGAGAGTCAGGACCCCAAGTCATGTGTGTGTCCTTTCCCAACGTCTCCAAAGTGATGAGCCCCCAGTTGTCTATTACTGCAAGTAAGAAGGGCCTGGAGACCCACGTGGACCTCGGGGCATGAACTCATGCATCCATACAGGTAGCTCATCTCCTCCAAGAAGTGCTGCATCACTAAATGACCATGACCTCTCTTGGATGCATGACCACCTGTCCTTCAGAGCTCCCAACCCCAAGCATAAGTTTAGGAAAGGGACACCTACAGATCCCTCCTGACACCACCTGGAGAGGACTGAGATGCCTTGTAAAGCATACCAGAATCTCCTTTCCCCTGGGCAGCTCCCTCATACACAAATGTACCAGGAAAGGGGGAGAAACGTGAAGCAGCTTCCACTTCCTTCCTTTCACCGTTACTCAGCATATTCTTGTTTTCACTTAAACATTTTAACTTCATTGTTTTCTAGTTGCCATCTGTCCTCATCATTAAATTGGCTGGCCTGTCCTCTCTATTCAGAACTAATTCAAGGGCACCAAGCTTTCAGGGGCCATGGCATTCCTGGGGTGCATCTCTGCAGATATCATCAGGGAAGTTTTCTAGACCTCCTAATTCCCCTGTGCTTCTCGGCCAAGCTCCTAGTGTAAAGAAAAGTTAGATAATGGGCGTGCAAACAGCATGGCTGTGTCATCAGGTACTCTCAGTGTGAGGTTCCCAGGCCATCCTAAGTCTGGGCCACCTCTGGTGGGTGACATCTTCCAAGGTCTCTGGCTTCCTGATAGCTGGTATTCTTTTGGGCTTCATGCACTTTTGGACGTGTGTGTGTGTGCCTGTGTGCTCAGTCGTGTCCAACTCTTTGCAGTCCCATGGACTATAGCCCACCAGGCTCCTCTGTCCGTGGGATTTCCCAGGCAAGAGTACTGGAGTGGGTTGCCATTTCCTACTCCAGAGGATCTTCCCAACCCAGGGATCGAACCAGCATCTTTTCTGTCTCCTGCATTGACAGGCAGATCCTTTACCATTAGGGTCACCTTCTTTTCAGATTTTATATTTAATCCTGTCTTCCTGGGTGTGGTTAACATAATTCAGCTTCCAACTAACCACCTATCTCTTCAGGAAACAGTTCCCAAGTCTTTGAGTGGGTGTTCCTATTTTAGAAGAAAGGTGAAACATTTAAATGATAGAATGAATGACAGTGCTAAATTGGGGATTGTAGCAATTGGTATACAAGGGAAAACAAATGATTGTCTGCCTGAGTTTGATTCATCATTTTTTCAACACCCACTTCCTAAAATGGGAATAAAAATGACTGTAAGGATCCTTGTTGTCTTGATCTTTCAGTGCTTCTATCAGCAATGTATGAACTTTTCTTCTAGAGCTTTATTTACAGATTTCTTTTCTTTCTTATAGTAGGGAGGTAGGTGAAGTTGAAAGTAGCCTAACAGTAAAATACATTTCAAGACTTTATATATGGACAGAATTTCTAGCTCAGCAGTGTTTTAATTATCAACCAATAAAAAGAACCCAGGTTAAACTCTCTTTTGGAGGTATAAAATGAGGTACCATTTTCTTTTCCAAATGCCAGGATATAAATTTGAAAATATCCTCACCAGGGATGAGGCAGCAGCAATGTCATGGTCTCCTGTTATAGAGGCTCTGAGCTTTTTTGTACCATATGCCTTTGAAGACACCAACCAGCCGTCTTCCACTTACAGCTGCCTCTTTTGTAATCTGCTCCTGCATTTGTTTTTAACTCACCTCTATACCTTCTGGGCTTCCCTGGTAGCTCAGTAGGTAAAGGATCTGCCTGCAATGCAGGAGACCCAGGTTCGATCCCTGGGTCTGGAAGATCCCCTGGAGAAGAAAATAGCAACCCACTCCAGTATTCTTGCCTGGAGAATCCCATGGACAGAGGAGCCTGGCAGCCTACAGTCCATGGGGTCGCAAGAGTCGGACAGGACTTAGCAGCTAAAACACCACCACACCTTCTCATCATCTTGAGTTTTCCTTCTTTGATTACTTTTCCATCCACTTATTTCTCTTCCTTATAGCAAATCGACATTTTCTTCATTAGCAGTGTAATGTTGTTATAATGGTTCATCCTTCATGTTTTTGTTCTTCATTTTGTAAAACATAAGTCATCATCATGTTTCTCATTTCCTTTCTTATTAATTTGTCAGATGTAGTGAGAACAAGTGGAAACACTAGATTGTTGGCAAATCTTGTTGAACTCTTCTCTCTATCCTTTTCCTGAGTATTCTCATTGTCCTAAATGTCACATTAGCTTTGATTTTCAGATTTCAGCCAGAAAGGAACACTAATGTCTCCATTAAAAGGAGAAGTGGGGGACATTCTCGCTCCTTTCAAATTCTCTGCCATTTTAGTCAGATTTGTTCTGTAAAAACATCAATATGATATACTATTAAACATCAGCAAAATTTAAAGATTCCCCCCCCCCCCCNCACACACACACACTGGCTTTTTCTGAAAGATGGATACTCCTTTTCTTTTAATGCCCTTTTCTTTGTATAGGTTCCTGTACAAAGAAATGTACCTATAATGGTACCGATTCCTGTTTCTTATAATGGCTGTGATTATCGGGGCCTGACAATATATTTTTTTAATTTTCACCAACACACAGCAGCAACAGAATGTTCTATCTATGAGTATTGCATGAGATGGCATTTTCATTTTTTTTAACACTTCATCATGTTCTTTCTCTGTGATACATGCCAGTCATCTGGTCATGGTTTTATTTAGCAAATGATGGGCCAGGATGTCTCTTTATATTCCATCAGTTCACTGGGCTTTGAAATCCCCACAGATAAGAACTCCTTCTCCACCTGTTTTCTCTGCTCTACACTGATACTTTTTTTTCTTTTTATTTGAGTTATTTTATATGAGCTCTCATATAACTATTTAGAGAGTTTACATCTCTGTTCCCATCTTTCCTTAGTTTCTGTTTATCTCTCTTAAGATTTAGCATGCAACAGACCTGGCAGGCAATAGGAAAGAGCTCTTTTGAGTTCTTATTCTTCCGCTTCCAGGCTGTGTGACCTTGAAGTGTCCTAGCCTTCCTGGGGTATAGCCTACCCATCTGTGCTTTCTCCCTCAAAGTTGGGAGGATCCTGGGCAATCATGTATGTGAATGTGCCATTGAAACTGTAGGCACTCTACAACTGCAAATGAAGTAGTCAGCATATTTCTCTTTTGCTCCAAAGGCTATTGTTGCCCACAAGGAATTAAGTGTTTTGCCTCTGTTGTTTATGGTTGGGATTTCACATGAGCAGTTCACATGCATCTCCCATCTCCTCCACTTATCTCTCTCCAGGGATGGATACACACTTTTTAATTTCCCATCTCAGCCTGCTAAAGATTGGCCTCCTTACTTTTCAGTTGTCCATTCACATGAGGATCTATACTTTTCTTGTGCAATCATTGGTTAGATCTTGGTAAAGTACTCCAGGGCCTTATCTTTGACAAGACTACATTTTAAGCATTCCCTAGGAATGAGGGCAGGAGGAGAAGGACATGACAGGATGAAATAGTTGGATGGCATCACCGACTCAGTGGACATGAATTTGAGCAAACTCAGTAAGGAATGAGTGTTTCCTCTGTCCTCCAGGGTGCCCCAGAGAAGGGATAGCCCCAGTCTTGCTCAGTAACCATCTGCCCATGTGGTTTTGCCAGAAGACAGCATGACTCACCTCTTCACGTGCCCAGAGAGTGCAGGATCAGAATACCTAATGAGGACTTAAAGGTCATTGAATTTCTTTCTCTTAACTTCTTTCTCTTCCTCCAGCACTGGCAGTAAAGACAAAAATCAAATGTTTTGTCCAGTTGGCGGGGGGGAAATTTCCCATACAGTTGTGTTCAATTCACCATACACTAGCTCTTAAGTAGGCCTTCCAAGACCTACATAGACTCCCACAGACCCTACAGTCATCTATTTAATAAAGTGTTATTAAAATGCACCCATACGACAGTAAATATATTTTGTTGTCAACCTTTTAAAAACCACTTCTATGAGTTTGTTTTGAAATCTCTCAGCAGATAACATTTCTTATTGCTCCGTGAAACATTAGAAGCTATAAATTGTTTTCAAATGTACAAAACAATTTAACAATTGACACTGATGTAATGCTTATCCTTGTATACATGTTTCAACATAGTTACTTATTTTGAAAATTTTTTAAATTTTGTAATCACATTTATTTTCAGGTCTGCTGTATTTGTGCTACGTTTATATATCTCAGAGGTTTTAGATGTCATTCCTGTGTTACCCAGTGGATAACACAGTCCTGCCTGGAGTGGAATCTTATTTCTGAGACCACAGTTATTTTTTATTTTTCCCTGTAATGCTGTAATAAATAGTGTAGCGTTTCTGCAGAAGTGATTCAAACCTGTTCAAAGTTATTTTAGTTTTGATGGTAAAATGATTCTTTTAATAAGAAAAAAGCCTGATTCTATGGTAAAATTGATCTTCCTCTCCTAATATAGTGCTCTATATTTATTGATAATCCCATCAAGTATGAACTCCTTTGTAACAGATGTCTTCTGTTGTTACGGAATGGCATCTTGACATTCTTTATACAGTGCTCCTAGAACAATTTTTTGGTGGTACTTAAGATATTTTACATCTTCTTGGTAACAGGAGGTTGAAGCGAAGACTCATGTTTTTTTTAAAACAAAACAAAAAAAGAAACCTGAAAAAAAACCCCAATGAAAACCAAGTTTTAAACAAAAAAAATCCTAAACCGGGGGGAAACACCTTTTTTGTCTCACTGAGTGTTCAGTTAGTAAGCATAAGATGTGATGAATCAGGAGACAGACCCTTGTCCATCTGAAACTGTTACTAGGATGTTTGATTTGGTATCTTTAGCCCAGTATTCATGCTGTTCCTTTGGTGCAAAAGCAACAGACAGCATTATTTTCCTGAAGACTTTAGGACAAGATTTTCTTGAGACAGAGTAGCCTGATGCCTCATTGTTACACTTATATAGATTTTCAGATTCTGGGGACAAACTCCAACCCAGGAAATCTCATCACATTGGATTCATCCTGAAATAATCTGCAGAGTGTAACAATAGATTATTCATACCATATATTTTATGATGGTAAAGACTGAAACATACTGATGGTAGGATTTAGTATGTAAACAGACTGAGAGAAGGCATAGGCAATGTTACTAGAAATACATTAGTAATATCCACACACAAATTATGGTGCTAGAGGACTCTTAAGACTCCTTCGGACAGCAAAAAGATCAAACCAGTCAATCCTAAAGAAAATCAACCCTGAATATTCATTGGTAGGTCTGTTGCTGAAGCTGAAACTCCAATACTTTAGCCACCTGATGCAAAGAGCCAACTCACTGGAAAAGACCTTGATGCTGGGAAGGATTGAGGGCAGAAGAAGAAGAGGGTGACAGAGGATAAGATGGTTGGATGGTATCATCAACTCAATGAACATGAGTTTGAGCAAACTTAGGGAGATAGTGAAGGACAGGGAAGCCTGGTGTGCTGCAGTCCATGGCGTCGCGAAGAGTCGGACATGACTTAGCAACTGAATAACAACAACGATATCCACACATGACTAATCTAACCCATTAACTGCCTGTGAAAATCAGCATCCCTTTTTGTGCCCCATTCATTTTTAACAACAGTCTTAGGGCATATGTGGCCCATGGTCCTATTAGAGACAAAGGTGCTTCCTTTCCTGGAGGTTTGTTGCTGGCAGTTGCCAAAAGAATTCTTCATCTCAAAAGTGGTACCTTTGTTCAATGGAGATCTTTGGGGACAGACTTTTCAGCTGTTGTTTTTAATGTACTGTTTCTGAATGTGGGTTTAAAACAGTCTAAGCATATTTTACAGCTAAAAAAAAGAGTGGCAGGTATCTTAACTTCCTTACAATATTTGGCTCATAAATATCAGGTAATAAATGGCTACAGTTTGGATAAACAATTATTTATCTGAAGATGAATTGAACCTCTTGGATTTCTGACCTCAGACTGCAGTGGTTTGAATATTGAGGGGTACCTATACATGGTGATTTTTCTATGTAATGATATTCCCTAGAAATAAGAAAATGACTAATATTTGACTAACTCCAGTGGTCTAGAAATAGTCATCTTCTTCTCAAACAGTCTAGTATTTGGAAAAACAATACATTGCATGCCTTGGTCTCAGTTTATCTAGGGCTATCTTTGCAGGGTTTGCAAACCAGTGGGTTTGCAGGACTTTCTGTGTTCTCATCTCAAATCTGGCTTTGTTCTTTCCCTTTGCTCAATGCAATAGCTAAACAATTATTGCTTATATATACTTTGTACACACACATACTTCTACAAAGTATACATGTTCTGGTTTATATCCCTGGTTTTTTGCTGTTCATCTTATTTGGTATGTGGTAAGCTTCTGAGACATGGAATTTCAAAACCAAAGTCAACTGGATGTCAAAATTGTACATACATGCACAGCCATGCCCAGGGAAGGCTATTCAGGGAAGAGGTGTTCAGATGACTCTTGTGTAGAGGCAGAAGGGTGGTTTTCTCTGCTGTAGCACATCTTAACACGTTGACATGTTTGTAGTTAATTTGAGAGTTTTAAAAATAGACTTACTTTGTATGTGAGACTGAGTCTGCCTCTAGGAATATTCAGAATAGGATGGGAAAGAAGAGCCCTTTTGACTTTTTATTTCAAATCAGGAAGTAAAATGGATAAAGGATCTTAGCTGTTACATACAAATATGTCTTGAGGACCCACATATGGGTTCCATAACAGGCTGTTAGAACACAAAGATAGTGAGTCAGCAGAGGAGAGTTAATGGCCATTAGGGTGGAATTATTGCCCCAATGGGTGTGGAAATTGCAACTGTCAAATTGACCCTGAAGAAATAAAGGACAGGACAAGGTGGATCTGGAGAAAAGTGCTAGACCTTTTAAAGCTGTTGAAGATTTTAAATCATGTCTTGCAGTGTGCATTTTGTTTATCTACATTTTTCTTTATAATTTGTCCTCTGCCACAGTCTGTCTGCAACAAATAAGTACTAAGGGTGACTTTTGCTTGTAAAGATACCCTTCCTGGGTCCTTTGAGCCTTCCCTCTGAGGCAGTTCTGCTTAGTTATCTCCTCTGGGCTGAGAGAGGCTCTGCAAAAAAGGGAGTGATGAGGGAATGAAGTGTCCAGAGGGCTGGAGAGGAGAAGAGGAGAAGCACGAACAAGTGCCGAGTGTGGAAAAACAGGCAGAAGAAGGGGAAGAGAGAGAGAGTGGAGTCCAGGCTGGAGTGGAAAAAATGCAGTGGGACAGTGTATTTTAGGGAACAGGAAGCAAGACACCTGAAAAGAAAAGGCCCTCAAGAGAAAAAAAGTGATACAGGAAGTCAGTTTAAGACAAGCCATGTTCACTGAGCAAGACTCCCACTTGCCCATGAGTAGGGCGTAGGAAGCGATGGAGGGCGAGTGTGCTCAGCACATCCTCTTATCAGCCCTTCCGTGTTCTTTCCCGTCCTGTCTCATTTGTCAGCTGAAAGCAATTTTCTGTTTTCCCCAAGCGATTGTAATACCTGATATAGTAGAGCCCTGGATTTGTGACCAATCAACAGGACAGTGTTCCAGCTAAGGCATGAGAAACTCTTAAAAAGCAGGTCCCAAATTCTCAGCCAGTAGAATAGCATGAGATAATGGGTAATGGAAGGGTGATGCCTTAAGTTTCTATATGTTTTTTATGCTATTATTTACTCTGACAGAAAAGAGCTTTTTGCAGATTTTTGATGCAGAGCAGATAGAGCTTCGGCTTTCTAAAATGATTTGATTGGAGGGATGCAAAATGGCTGTGCAGGTGACTACACAGAATCCTGCCTAGGAAGTAAATCAGCTTCTATCCATTGAGGCACCTTTTTTTTTTGGTTTTCTAGGTAGAGGAACGGTCAAGGCTCAACCGGCAGAGTTCACCTGCCATGCCTCACAAGGTTGCCAACAGGATATCGGACCCCAACCTGCCCCCGCGGTCCGAGTCCTTCAGCATCAGTGGGGTTCAGCCTGCTCGGACACCGCCCATGCTCAGATCAGTCGATCCCCAGGTACAGTGTCCCTTCGTTCCGCTGGGGTTTCAACAGGGTGTACAATAAAGTCTAACAAAAGGGAATAGTAACATGGATTTGGGTATGAGACCAGCCAAATCATGGCTTTTCATATCAAATCTCTAGGAAGATAGGAGACCCCACTTCATGTGCAGGATAGAGGGAGAAGTGAGAAGGAAAAAAGCACCATTCTTAACTTTAAGCTAACCGCAAAGTCGCTTCTTGGTAAATTGGCCTCTCAAGAGAACCGTAGAAGTTTCTGCTAGTCCAGAACAGGCATCCTGTGAGTTGTAATTACCAAAGCTAACATTTTTTTAGACCTCTTTGTGACCCCATGGACTGTAGCCCACCAGACCCCTCTGTCCATGAAATTCTCCAGTAAAAATACAGGAGTGGGTAGCCATTCCCTTCTCCAGGGATCAAACCCAGGTCTTCGGCATTGCAGGCAGATTCTTTACCATCTGAGCCACCTAGGAAGCTTGATGTGTATATAAACTGTTATGTTATCTTTTGTTTCTTGGAATTTTGGCATGAGCCTGAAACTGGAAAAGTTAAATGGACTAGGTGAAGTAAAATTGTGTTTTCTAAGCCAGTGGTTTTAAAAATGTGGTCCCTGGGCCAGCAGCATCAGCATCACCCAGAAACTTGATAGAAATGCAGATTCTCAGGCCCAGCTCAGCCTGCTAATCAGTAACTCTAGGGGTGGGGCTGGAAGTCTGTGATTTAACAGCCTCCAGGTGATTCTGATACACTCTGAAGTTTCAGAACCACTGTTCTAAGCTATTTGGAAAAGAAAAGATTTATTCACTTTTAGATAAGGGGGAAGTTTCTGGAAGTTTTAGAGGAATTTTTTTAAATTGTGTATACCAAAAATGACATAGGAATTGAGATGCAGTATGACATGTCATAAAAAAGAAAGGTTATGCAGCAGTTTTCACCTGAACGTCTTAAGTTTCTTCCAGGTCTCCACCTGTGTCAGCATTCCCACAGATATTCTGCGGGCACCATTTATATATGTAATGCTATTTGAACTGGAGTTTCAGAGCAGATACATTCAAGGATTCTGGATTTTAAGTTTGCCTTTAGTATATGAGGTCCAAAATTCTTCAGTACTATCCAGATTAGCTTATCTAAACACACAAAGTTCCTCTTTAAAAACCCCTAACTTTGACCTTTTAGGAAACTTTTTCCCTGTAAAAGGAGAGAGTAGAGAGAAAACTTAAGAAACTATGTGAAAGTGACTAGGAAATGAAAATGTTGATATCCTGTGACAGACAGCTAATTGAATTAAGCATTCTTCAGGAGCTTCATTTTTTTGTTTTTGTTTAAGGGACCCTTTCAAAGTAGGTTTGTGTTTTGTACTGCATATTTTTAAAATTTGATTTTATTCAAGTATAGTTGATTTACAATGTTGTGTTAAGTTTCTGCCATACAGCAGTGAGATTCAGTTACACATGTATATGCACGTTCTTTTTCACAATCTTCTCTGTTAAGATTTATCACAGGGTATCGAATGTAGCTCCCTGCGTGACACAGTAGGCCTTGTTATTTTTGCACTCTGTATATAATGGGTTGTGTCTGCTAGTCCCAAACCCCAGCCCTTCCTTCTTGGCAATGACAAGCCTGTTCTTTGTGTCTGGGAGTCTGTTTTGCAGATAAGTTCATTTGCGGCATATTTTAAGTTCCACATATAAGTGATACCATATGGTATTTATCTTTCTCTTCTTGACTTACTTTATGTGTGATAACCTCAGAGTCCATCCATGCTCCTGCAGATGACAATATTTCATTCTTGTTTATAGCTGAGTTGTATTCCATTGTGTGTATATGTATATGTATATACATACCACATTTTCTTTAGTCATATATCAATGGACATTTCGGTTCTTTCCATGTCTTGGCTATTGTAAATCATGCTTTCATGAACACTGAGGTATATATTTATAAGACAGGCTTTGTTTTTGTATTAATGCTTAATATATTTAATGATATTTAACCTTAATATGGACTTCCCCAGTGGCTCAGAGGTAAAGAATCCACCTTTGATGCAGGAGACGCGGGTTTGATCATTGGGTCAGGAAGATCCCCTGGAGAAGGAAAAGGCAACCCACTCCAGTATTCTTGCCAGGAAATTCCCATGGACAGAGGAGCCTGACAGGCTATAGTCCTAGGGGTCTCAAAGAGTCAAACAACTGATCATACACCCACACAACCTTAATATAAATTTGATTGGTTACAGTTCTATTCTCGTTGAAGCATACACTCAACTGAAATAGACTTTGAGAATTTCCTTGGAACTATAGTTAGCAACTTTCCAGTCTCCCGAATCAAGAGGGTCTGAAGAGTCTGGGGCAAGGCTGCTCCAGAGATGAGACATCAAGCGCAGGGGGAACAGGGCCAGGCTGGTGGAGGAGGGCTGTCGAGGTGTCCTCTAGCAGTCTAGGCACTGAGATTTCAGACCAAAGAGAGTCTGATAGGTCCCTGGTACAAAGCAAATACTAGATTAATGTTTATTGAATTAACAGTTTAATGTAGAAAATACTCAAGATGTTTTCCCAGCCAGGGTTGATTGACCACCTTCAATATGCCAGGCATGGTGCTAGACTCAGAGAGAGGAAGTCTGACATGGCTCTTGTCTCCTGGGAGCTTCCCTGCATACTGGAGGAGAAAATAGGCTTACATGAGCACAAACAAGGAAGTGTGAGCAGTCAGTGCTCATGGTAAAGGATACTCGGAACTCTAGATGCTCATGATTTGTCTTAAAAAGCTACATTTCTACCTAAAGTCTACATTTCTTCCCTGCATGAACGATATCAATACATGCCAAATTGTGAGACTTCCAACTCTAAAAGAAATGTCCTAGTGTCGTGAAATATATAATATCCTAGGTGGTAAGAGCCAGTTCACCAGAAAGCAGGATCACACAGCAGTTAGGCTGTGGAGTTACAACATAGGAACTAGAATTAGGCATATGTGTAGGTTACAGTCCAGTCTCTGTCGTGTATTAGCTGTGAAATCTAGGTTGTCATTTACCCTCTCGATACCTTACATTCTCATGGGTAAAATGAGAAGAATAATTGTGTCCAGCTCATGGTATTTAATGAGTTCATAAGAAGAAAGATGTTGAGAGCAATTCTTGTTTCACAGAGCACTCTCTGAAGTCCAAGTTAGGAGGTTGAAAGGAGGAAGTTTGTATGCTCAGAAGTGCTTGTAAATGTTTTGCTGGTCAATAACTATTCACTGAAAATCATTATTATCATGACACTTACTTCACTGACTTCTTAACAGTCCCAAGTCCATCATTTGACTCTTTGCCAGTAAGTCTGGTCCAGCCCTCCAGCTCTAAAATAGGAAATTTGGGAGAGCTTTGAAAAGTATCAGCAAAGAGCTGCTATGGGCTCCATATACTCTGGTTCTTTCTCCCTAGAATTTAATCCTCCCTCCCCATGAGATCCTCGTTGATCTGTGTTTCCCTGGTGGCTCAGTAAAGAATCTGCCTGCAATGTAGGAGACCCAGGTTTGATCCCTGGATCAGGAATATCCCCTGGAGAAGGGGATGGCCACTCCAGTATTCTTGCCTGGAGAATCCCGTGGACAGAGGATCCTGTCAGCTACAGTCCCTGGGGTCACAAAGGGTCAGACACAAGTGAGCTGCTACTACTGCTTCTAATAATGCTGCTGTGATGTTGGTTTGATGCTTAGATCCCGCATCTGGTAGCAGTGAAATCCCAGGGACCTGCCTTGACCGCCTCCCAGTCGGTGCATGAGCAGCCCACGAAGGGCCTCTCTGGGTTTCAGGAGGCTCTGAATGTGAGTTCTCACCGCGTCGAGATGCCACGCCAGAACTCAGATCCCACGTCTGAAAACCCACCTCTCCCCACTCGCATTGAGAAGTTTGACCGAAGCTCTTGGTTACGACAGGAAGAAGACATTCCACCAAAGGTAACATTACTGGAGTTTTCATCGTCATCTCTATCATTGTCATCAATGTTTATTATTACTACTACTGTTACTGTTATCATTTTTATTACCCCTGTTGCAGACCATTCATAGTACCAAAGAACATGATAACACAGCACTGTCCCTTCTAGCATTTGTGTTGGTCCCTCCTCATTTCCAGGCTAAGACTTGGATTGTCATTCATCATCTCTGATCTCCATTTNAACCATTCATAGTACCAAAGAACATGATAACACAGCACTGTCCCTTCTAGCATTTGTGTTGGTCCCTCCTCATTTCCAGGCTAAGACTTGGATTGTCATTCATCATCTCTGATCTCCATTTTCCCCAAAGAAATGGATGCTCTGGTAGACTGAATGACTTGAAAGCATATATGCTGTATCCAGAACTCCCAACCCCAAGCCTTCCAAACCATTCATTAATACTATCCATCTTGAGAAATAGAATAATACAGATATTCTCATTGATGACTTAATCTATATCTAGACAAATTTAAAATTTCCAGATTAAAAAGTAGAGAATTTATTTCTATTTTTAATAACACAAAGTGAAACCACATTTCAGGTGTTCAGAAAATAGTAATGCTCTTAGAATATGTTAGTTGGTTCCACTAAGGAAAGCTCCCTCTAGGCCAGGTTGTGACTTAATTCCAGTCTTAATTACCAAGGATTAAATTGTAGGCTGAAATGACCAGTCGTTCCACTGGCTTGGTTCCATTTGTTTTGTTTTTGCCTGTACCAAGCTGTTATCCATTCCAAAGTGTCCTAACACATGGCTCTGCATCTCACTACAGACAACCTGAAGTATCTCAAAACACTGGAGAAATGTTGCGTCAGATTCTTCCTGGTTCAGGATTCCCTTTCTCCTGAACTTAGCTGAGGAGCCAGGGCAAATGGAATGCCTCACAGTTTCCATAGATCCATAGCATGATTGATTCCAGAAAAAAAATAATAACTTTTTATCCAAATGTTTTCAAATATTTTTCCTCATCTTCCTCTCAAAAAAATTTCCATGCTTTTGCAAATGAAATTGGCTGATAATGGCTTTTTTGTTGTTCTCGTCTTGGGGATGGCATCAGGCAAGGTTATTTACAGAGCAAAGTTCAATATGAAAAACAGGACGGGCAGAGGAGCAGACAGCAGGAGAGCTGAGCGACATTGAGATCATTGGTCCATTCTCTTCAAACATGCAGGCACACTTTTACAACTCTGGAAGAAAAACTTTAGATCAATGCAGAAGTTTTAGGTTTTAATGGTTCATTACTCCCTCTCTACAGCTATTTCAGGTGACCAAATACAAAAGGAAAAATAGCAGTAATATTTAACTGAGCAGGTGGGAGCACTCATTTGGTCATTCTGCATCACTTCAGTGACTCATCTTTCTAGATCTTTATCTTAAAATGTTTTATAATAACCAAGGAAACTTGTATTCATGGTAAATATTCTTTAACATATTAAGCAATAATATCAAAACAAAGCATCATTTTAAAATATCTAGTAGAAAATATCTGATTGATCAGAAAGTACGTTCTCTTAGTGGATATGTTATTTAATGATGTTCTTGGTGAAAATGAAAAAAATTTGTCTTACTTTTAGAACCAAATGAACTTTTTGGCCAACCCAATACAAATCCACTTTAAAAGGACCTTCAAAAAAGAAACATCCAAGCACCTGAAGAATGTTCAGCCCACCTAGCTGCCACATTTTCATTTCCTGGTCACTTTTCATAAAGTAAATTTCCCCTCTTCTCCCCTCGTGTTGAACTCCTTCGGTGCGCTTAACAGTATGCAATTTCATTAGAAAATGTTTTATAAAATGAGGCATACTTGAATTTACCTTAGTCCCTTGACCAATAAGCTAATGATACAATTTCCTACTGTACTTTGCAGTCGGATGGGTACTCACATAGTTTTTTGAAGACCTTCCAGGATTTTCATTATTAATCCTGGTTTTTTTTTTTTTTTATTACATTTGCAAACTGACCTCCCGAAGCACCCTGTTAGGAGTTTGTTTTGAATTAGCAATTGCAAGTTGGTTAGCGAGTAGAAACATTTAGGACCTATCGCAGTCATTTCTCTGAGCCCACGGACATGTGGCTTATGTCCCAAGTTCTAGTCTGCTACCCTAGTTTCTCACCAGATTTCATAATTTCCTTATCTGTTTATCAGTTGTGCTGTGAGTTAAAAATGGAACTCGATTTATCTGGATGACTCTCATCAGATAGAGTTTCCAATGGCCAACTGAGTTAATGATACCCCAGAGAAATTTCTGGTGTCCACCACTCTTGTGCAAACACAAGGGGGCAATTATTTTAGCTCTGTACGTCAAAGTAATTCACTTGCTCTGTTTCTAAATCTGTTTTTAACATTGAAGGCAGTACTCATTAATGGTTGCTAAAATGTGCCTCATTGCGTTTCCTTTGATTTTGTTTAGGGAGTTAAGTATTTCTTTGAGATGTTTCTTTCCTTCTTCGGATCATTCCATGTCTCCTGGCGGATCTTAGGAAAGAAGTAGGCTGCATTTGAGGTAGTACCACATGGACGTTATTTTATGGAAAATATTTCTGAATTCTGGTTTCCTTTCAGGTGCCTCAAAGAACAACTTCTATATCCCCAGCATTAGCAAGAAAGAATTCTCCTGGAAATGGTAGTGCTCTGGGACCCAGACTAGGATCTCAACCCATCAGAGCGAGGTAAGGGAAGGAAGATGGGTAAGGTGAAGGGAAGAGCCCCCACCTACCATTGTCATTACTGCTTTCCTAAAAAGCTATCTTTGTTCTTTTTCCACTTCTGAGGCATGTTGACTGGTCACCCGGACTGTAAATTTTGGTGGGCCAGAAGCAAGTCTTTTGTTTCTTCAGCAGCCTTTCACAAAAACCAGTGTATAGTGTAGGCTCATGAATGAATGAGCAAATGAATCACGGAATCAATGCAAAAGCCAAAAAAAAAACCTGGCTTACCTTCTTTGGCAGGTTTTCAAATGTGGGAATAATACTACAAATAAAGTCTGGGTGTGGTACCCCTGACCATTAACCTCAGAGACCATTTCATGAAGCCAGCCAAACAATGTGGCCTGATCTGAGATGATTTTTAGCATCAGGTCAAGAAACGTGCCCTGGCTCTGTGGTGACCTAAACAGAAAGAAAACCCAAGGAAGACAGTATATATGTGTATATGTGTGACAGATCCTGGTACTCAGACGGTAAAGCGTCTGTCTACAATGCGGGAGACCTGGGTTCGATCCCTGGGTCGGGAAGATTCCCTGGAGAAGGAAATGGCAACCCACTCCAGTACTCTTGCCTAGAAAATCCCATGGACGGAGGAGCCTGGTGTCCATGGGGTCGCAAAGAGTCGGACACGACTGAGCGACTTCACTTTCTTTCTTTCTTTATACAGTAGAAACTAACACAACATGGGAAAGCAACTACACTCCAACTTAAAAAACAAAACGAAAGAAATGTGCCCTGAGGTCTGTTGAGACAGTAGAAAGTAATTAGCAAAGAGGACTTCCCTGGTGGTACAGTGGTTAAGAACCAGCCTACCAATGCAGGGGACACAGGTCCAATCCCATACTTGGTCTGGAAAGATTCCACATGCTTTGGGGCAGCTAAGCCCATGTACCACAACTCCTGAGCCCTTGTTCTAGAGACTGTGAGCCACAACTCCTGAAGCCTGCGGGCCTAGACCCCGTGCTCCGCAACAGAAGAAGCCCCCACAGTGAGAAGCCCATGCTCACCGCAACTAGAAAGAGCCCCGGCAAAGCAATGAGGACCCAACACAGCCAAAGATAAATAAATAAATAATTTTTTTAAAGAAAATAATTGGCAAAGAAATGCTATAGTGACCAACTGCAGAGCTGTCCTAGTTTGGCAAATGGCAGAAGGACTAGTTCTCGTGAGGAAGTCATCTCTGGCGTTATGGAGTGTCACGGAAATACAGTGATGCTCCCCCGCTGTTGCTCTTTGAGCTTCTGGAATTTTTTACCAACCGTGTATATTCCTACAGTCAGGAAGTTGCATCCACCTACTGGTGGGTGTAGAGGTCTGAAAAGAAGCTGGAAAATAAACAATATCCTTACAGTACCAGAGCATATTTTATGGGGTAACAGATGCTGTTTGTTGCTGTCGTTCATCAAACTCCCCTCACATGTTTCATGAGTACACTCCTTTTTAGGATCAGCTGAAATAGCAAATGGCCTCTGTTGAGACTATAAAAAGGAACTTGGGGGTACTGTGTTATTCTTCATTGTGTTCATAAGAGGACAGTCTCTTGCTAGTCAAAGAGAAAGGGAGACTGGAAATGAAGGTTATGACTGTACAGATCCTAAAATATGGAATTGTTTTGATCATAAAGCTTTCATTTTTCTCTTCATATGAAAAGCCTTAGGAAGGGGTCAGTCTGTAAATAAGACAGAACTGTACTAAGAACATCCACCTCTGGAGGGCAAAGAAGCTAGCTCGTTCTGAGTGGAGTTGCCAGTTGCAGAAGCTCTGAATGAGCCGTTTTTGTCCAGCAGCTTGTCAGGTTCACGCTGAGCTGGTGTTGTGAGCAGAACTGACGACCCCTGGTGTGGACTGTGACCAGGGAGTGAAAGGAATGTGAGGCTGGATTGCCAGCCTGAACTTTACCAGTCCTCCTCTTCTAGCGATAATAAGCCTCCAGTATCAGGGCTTCTTGCTCCTTTGAACCCTGCCTTCTAGGCTGTGTTCATGAGATAAGTTGTTTAGAATTTTAGTTTCTGTACATCAAGCATCATTTCAACTTTAAGTCTTTTTCCCTCTATCAACCCAAAAGAAAGAGAACTGTCTTTCTGAAGTCAGATGAAAAGCAGTCCTTTGTCCCTCTGAAGTACTATTTTAATGACATTAAGGCTCCAAAATAACTGATAAATGGTCCTTCATGCATTGCTCAGTCACTTCAGTTGTTCCAGGTCTTTGCGACCCCATGAACTAGAGCCTCCCAGTCTCCTCTGTCCATGGGATTCTCCAGGCAAGAATACTGGAATGGGTTGCCATGCCCTCCAACAGGGCATCTTCCCGACCCAGGGATCAAACCCAAGTCTCCTGCATTGCAGGTGAATTCTTTACCTGCTGAGCCACCAGGGAAGCCCAATAAATGGTCAGTGGCTTGCAAAACATGTGCTTTTCCCTTGGAACCTCCTAAACATTGTATTCTGTCCAAAGAAAGGAGATCTTGTGAATACAGCTAACATTTTTCTGTTTACAGAGAAGGTAGGGAGGAAATGAACGTGGCGGTAATGATTATTTACCTGCAATGAGAATCAAAGACATTGTAGGGGAGGGGGGATGGAGGAGGGGGGATGGAGAATCCCCATCTCTGCCATGTAGAACAATCCTGCTTCTTTCTATCACGTATCTCTAAGTGACCAGCACTTAAAGATGTGACACAGACTCTGCAGCTCTAGATTGAATTGCATTTTGAAACGTTTCAGGATTTGGTGTTATGTTGCCTGGGAAAATCCCATGGACAGAGGAGCCTGGTAGGTTGCAGTCCATGCAGTCGCTAAGAGTCGGAAACGACTGAGCGTCTTCACTTTCACTTTTCACTATCATGCATTGGAGAAGGAAATGGCAACCCACTCCAGTGTTCTTGCCTGGAGAATCCCAGGGACGGGGGAGCCTGGTGGGCTGCCGTCTATGGGGTCACACAGAGTCGGACACGACTGAAGCGACTTAGCAGCAGCAGCAGCAGCACTGTGCTAGAGATGGCTTTAGTTCACCTTTGTTGTATAATAAAACGGGTGGCTTGAAACAGTAACTGTTCATGATTTCTCACCATTCTGTGGCTTGACTTCAACATTGTCCTGCTGGTCTCACCTGAGCTGGCTTACGCAGCTGCACTGCAGTGGCGGGTCCGCTGTGCCTTCATGTGAATGTTCATCCTCAGCTTCTTGACTGTTTGGTGATTGCAGGACAGCATCTCAAGAGGGAAAAGCCCAGTACACAACTGGAGGAGAATTGCTTTCCAGTGTTGTGTTAGTTTCTGCTGTACACCAATATGAATCAGCAATATGCATACATATGTCACCTCCCTCCCTCCCCGCTCCATCCGACCCCTCTAGCTCATCACAGACCCTGGAGCTGGGCTCCCTGTGCTGTGTGGCCGCTTCCCGCTAGCTGTGTGTTTTACACATGGTAGTGTCTGTATTTTAGTGCTACTCCTTATTTCATCCCACCTTTCCTCCTCCCCTCCCCTGTGTCCACATGTCCATCCTCTACATATGCATCTCCATTCCTACCCTGAAAATAGCTTTACCTGTACCATTTCTCTGGATTCCATACATACATGTTAATATACAATATGCGTTTTGCTCTTTTTGACTTACTTCACTCTGTATAACAGACTGTAGGTCCATCCACATCAGTACAGATGATCCCGTTTTGTTCCTGTTTATAGCTGAGTCATATTCCATTGTATATATGTACCATATCTTCTTTACCTGTTCATCTGTTGATGGACATTTAGGTTGCTTCCGTGTCCTGGCTGTTGCAAATACAAACACTTTTGAAGCTTCTGCTTCTATCATCTTTGCTAATGATATGATTCACCAATGGTTGGGTGGGGGGGATTACCGTAATAGGACAGAGATTGTCCTATTTTCTATTGGTTCTAATAAGGTCCTTATAGGTTTTTTGGTACCATTTGTCAGATAACTGCCCATCCATAAAGCCATAAAAAGGTTGCTTTTAAATATTTTGTTCTTTGCAATACCATATGGACTCCCAAATGCCTTACACTGTCAAGGTAAACTGGTGAGTTTAAATTATGATTTGATTTGTTCATTTTTTAAATTTGTTTTAAAACCTCCCATGCACTTTAACATTTAACTTTGATTCATGTGTTCTTTTAAAGCAAATTAAAATTTGATTAAGCAAATACATTCAGAGTATGAAACATTTTAAATTAATCCAATAATACCCAGTCAAAACCCAATGACTGAATGCTTAATTAAAAAAAATAATAATTCTCTGGCCTATCCCAAACCTATCTGCTTATGGCTGGCTTGTTCTCATTGGCTGTGTCATCAGAGAACAAAGGAAAATGAATGTGGGCAGGCAGCCAGTTAATTATAGACTTGGCCCAAATATTTGGGCCAAGAAACCACTTTGTAATCTTAATTTCCTGTTTTGACTTTTTTATATGATTCAAGTAAATGGAATAATTTTCTTTTTACTGTGTGTTTTATAAACCAAACAGCATTGTCTGCAGTATGCCAAATGTGTGAAGTAAAAGTTAGCATTAGAAGTCTATATGCATGTTTTCAAGTTTTTACATATTTGGATCTGAATAAGATCAGTTAATACATAAACACAGGAAATCTATTGTTTCATGGAATTGTTCTGAAATTGATCCCCTCTAAGAGCATTTATCTCAAGCACCTTGGCCCCAAGGCCAGATCAGGTGACACCATAGTAAGGAAGAGAGGAACGTGGCAGTGTGACATTTTCTCAAAGCACTCATATTTTACCACAAAAAAAAAAGATAGAAAAGGCATTTGAAAATGTTCCCTATTTCTATGTATGATTACGTGGAAACTAAACACTTCTTTCAGACTCCAGCAGCAAAAATAGCAACCTATTAAGATCCGTACCCACACTGGTTAACTCCAGTGGGGGGATGGGGGGACAGACTTGTGCTAACGAAGCCCAGATCAGGGGTTTAATGCTCTTGGGGTCCAATCAGCTTCACACCAAAAGAGGCCTGAGCCCCAGTCAGAGACGCAGGCTCCTCTCAGCTGGTTCTGCTGATGCCCTGGCACCTCTGTCATCCCAGTACAGCCCTGGCCCAGGTCTTACCATCTAACGTGACCGCAGCCTCCTCTTTGGTCAGCCTGCCTCTGTCCTGACCAGTCATTCATAAGCCGGCCCTGGGAGGCCTGTGTTTTCTGCCTGGCTTTAAGAGAATTGCTATAGAAGCTTCCCATTTCCAAAAAAAGAAGATGAAGCTTCCCATTTATTTTGATGACCCACTCTCCAAGGGTTTCCTACACAGACTTGGTACTCAGCCAGGATGGTGTCATCTTTATACCAAGGAGCCCCAGGAAAACCCAGGTCCATGTCTTTGCTCAGACTGTTCCCCCAGCCTTGCTGCTCACCCCTCTGAAGTTTAATCAAGTCCTTTCTCCTTCCCAGCACCACCACCAACCACTCCAGGCTGCAATACACTGCATTCCCCAGACTCCGCTATGCTCGCATAGAGTGTAGAGTTTTGCCTTGCTGGCTGTGATCTCCACTGCATGTCTCATTGCTAGGATTATGTTGTAACTTGACTGTCTGTCCTGTGACCTGAACTCTTCTCCATCCCTCATGGTCTCACAAAGGCAGGTGCTTAATGAAGGGTTTTGGCTAAAGGACCAAAAAAGTGATGCATTCAAGCAAAGAGCTGAATCCTGCTACCATACAGCAATAACCAGGGAAAGTCCTCAGAGCTCACAGAACTCCATTCTCTCAATAGGCTTTTTGTTTGTTTGTTTGTTTGTTTTCACACAAAGAACACTACATCTCTACAAAATGAGAACAGCCACCAAGAAACCTTACCTTTAACGTGTAATGTAATTTTTAAAAAAATTTTTTAGAATTTATTAATTATACATAAATAACTCCTGACCACTACTGTTTAATGAAAGAGAACAGTAGGGAAGAAGTTAATATTTAGGAATATAAATAGGATTATTTTTTGGAAAAAAAATGAAAAATTGCAAATGTGAGATATTGCAGAATTATCATTCATTTATCATGCTATTCTACTTAGAATATATTAGATATACTATAGATATTTAGATATCTAATTATTATTATAGACATTCTAATAATATCTAATTATTATCTAGATAATTTGGATCTAGATAATAATTAGATATTCTTCAAATAGGAGGGAGGTTTTTTCTCTTATGGATCCAAATCTATCTCAATCAATTAAATGCTAATTACTGCCCAAAGGAGTGCCATAAAAATGCCAAGAATTTTTAAAGTCTTCCTTAAGTTTACTGACACTTTCTTCTGCAGTCAATTTTTACTGCTGGATTGACTTACCCACCCCTTTACAATAAAAACAATTGAAAGGTGAATATTGTCATAAAATCTACATTTATATTATCAAAATTAATAAATCATAAAGATATAGTTATGTTTACGTTTTCCAGAATCACCAGCCATCTCTTCCACTCACCCAGTGTTTAAGGATTTTTGTAATTCAGCCAAGTATTTTTGTTTTCAGAAAGAAATTATTTGGTTTAGTTGCTGCCATAACAATGCAATTTTGTGGCCAGATTTTCACAGGCCAAACTGCAAGTGTCTCAAGGGAAGGGACCATATTATTTTCACATTTACATGTGAAGCGTCTGACACCCAACACAGCACAGAGTGCCTGGTTCCCACTTGATACTCTTAAAATGGGCAGAGAAAATGAAAGCATAGTATTACATTTTAATGTGATAGCTCACTGCATGAAAATAATAGCACTATGACGACTCTGTTAGTGAAATTCTGTTTGAAGAACTGAAGACAATGAAATCATGGAGGAGCTGATGTTTCTCCCTTGGCAGGTGGATGGCAGTGGATAGGATCTTTGGATTTCAGATCTCACTAAATTACCACTTAGGCCCAGTAGTATAGAAGTCCAGAGGGAAAAATGGAGAGGTCTATGGCATATAGATTTGAAAGAAGAAAATTGGAAAATACTGCTTACTTTTATAACAAAATCCTGAAATCCTCTCGGTCTCCTCCCACCACCACTGCTTAGCGGCCTCCTCCTCTCTGCAGCCCCTGTGGTCCCCAAAAGTGGCCTTGGAGTCTGCTTCATGTTCCCACACTGCTCTGCGCGCACTGCAGGCATAGCATGAACAAAGACCGCTGTGTGTGTCTGGCGACATTGGCAGAGGGGACGAGCTGGATCCTGTTCATTCCTATATCTCAAAGGTCTGACCCAGTGCCCGGTGTAGACCAGCTGAGTGAATGAATAAATGCACTATTTTGGGAGTAGTAAAGATGTGAGAGTGAATAATAGAGTAGCGCTTATAACCAGTGGGGGCTTTTAGCCTGCCAATAGATGAACGCTGTTCTTGGGTTTAGCACTTAATAATTATTTTCAAACATACTTCCCTTTGGTAATAGCCAAGGTATATAAAGATTTCCTGCAAGAAATTTAAAAATGCAAAGATACCACTAGCTATGTGAGCTTAGGTAACTTAGGTAATTCACAGAAGAGGAATTCTGAATAACAAATAAATGTGAATAAAAATTATTATACCTCAACAATAATTTTTAAAAGCTGCATTAAAACATGAAAATATAATTTTTTGCAAGTTAGTTACCTGTTCATAATAAAGACTGGTAAGAATTCAATGAGATGGATAGTCTTATACACTGTAGTGAAAACCTGCTGTATGTTTATACGTTCACATACATATATATGTGCACATGCATACCCCAGTTCATGCCCCTCCGCCCAAGAATTCCAATTCCAGGAGAGATGTGACTGAATATTTGTTTGCCTCTAGATGTTTATTCCAGTATTATGTGTCCCAGCAATATATTGGAAGCACCTAATAACAGAAGAATGATTGAACTCATTCACCTACATAATGGACTACTATGCAGCCATTATTGTTTTTAGAAATGTTAGAAGCTGCTCGAAAGGCAGTCAAACAGGGAAAAAAGCAATATGCAAAATTGAATACACAGTATGCTTTCGTACATGCAAAAGAAAAAAGGCTAGAAGCGGACTTCCCTGGTTGTCCAGTGGTTAAGGATCTGCCTGCCAATACAGGGAACACAAGTTTGAGCCCTGGTCTGGGAAGATCCCACTTGCCACAGGGCAGCTAAGCCTTTGAGCTGCAGCTCACCAAAGCCCACTCTCCCTGGAGCCCGTGCTCTGCAACTAGAGAAAGCCCACACACAGCAACAACAACCCAGTGCAGGCAAAAATGAATAAATGATTTTTTTCTAAGACTAGAAGACAATATATCATCCAGTAAAAGACAGCTGAATGTCTCTTGATTCAGAGATGGCATGCATTGCTCCCTTGTTTTTATCTTTTAATATTCTCTGCTCTTTTACAATGAGCACAGGAAAAGGGGTTTCAAAGCCAGCCTCCTTTGAAGATTCACCATTTCGGAGCTAATATGTTTGATGTGAGATGATCCAAGAGTTGGGTCAAGAATTCATCCTGTCCAGATGTGGAATCTGGCCAGCAGCTCCACAGAAGACAGCTTGACTGTCCTTAACATTGACCCCTTTAATGCAAGGTCACATAGGCACTATCTTCATCTCTTTGTACTGGGGGCGGGACTGGACTACACTTGTGTCTCCCAGTGGCCAGTTCTTGAGAATGTGAGCCCTGGGCATCGCTGTCCCTACAGCAACCCCGACCTCCGGAGAACCGAGCCCGTCTTGGAGAGCCCCTTGCAGAGGACCAGCAGTGGCAGTTCTTCCAGCTCCAGCACCCCCAGCTCCCAGCCCAGCTCCCAAGGCGGCTCTCAGCCTGGGTCACAAGCAGGATCCAGCGAACGGACCCGGGTTCGAGGTAAAGCTTTCCCCCGCCTTTCCAGGAGGGCTTCTCTGGACTGGGAATCAGATTGCTTCCTGACTTCTGTGACTCCTGGTCCTGGTGTGGCCACCACTATGTGATGCCGAGAAGCCCCTTAACTCCACTCGGCTTCAGTCTCCTTAGGCCAGTGGGCCACCATCCCCAGTCACGTGTGTGACATCAGTGTGGACCCAATCCTTTCTAACTGCAGATACCAGAATTCTTCAGGGAGATTGCAGAATACTGGTCTCATTCGAAAATGTAGTCATCAGACAGCTCAATTTCCATTTCTATTTGATTGCTTAGTTAGAGTTCCATGACCCACAAGTATCCTCTTCCCCTGTGTCAACAGTGTTCAGAATACAAGGTATTTCTCAAACTAAACGTTAATAAAGGCTAATGTAGAATAAATATGCACTGGAGAGAAGATATAAAATCTTTGACTTTAAAAAATATACTTGACCCTTCTGGTTATTCCTATTAGTGAGGTAAAAATTAACCTCTCTGACCATTTAATTCAAGTCATCCTTCATTGTTTAGCTTTCAGTAATGAGGAAGCTTGTGAAAAACATTAATGTGTCCAGCTGATTATATGTGACAACCTATTGTTTCTAACTAATCAAAATGTACTCTTTCTGCATAAACCTTCTTCAGAAGATAATTTTGCTTCCAAGTAATGAAGGCTGGGATTTTTTTAAGTGCAATTTGAAAACACTTAATACTCTGCCTGATGAAAAGCACCGGTTCTTTATTCTTTCTTAGCCTCTTCATTAGACACAATCATTCTTTACCTCCTAATTTTTTTTTTTTAAGTAAACTCACTGTATGTCTATTTTGAAAAGGTGAATGTCAGACATGCTGTGCTGTGCCCCTGAACTGGGGTGGGGACTGGCCTGCAGCTGGCTCTTTTTACAACCTTCTGACATCCATGACAACCCAGAACTGTGTAGGCTTCTGTTGCTTTGACCCAGATATAGACTTACTAACTTTAGAAAAGTGCCATTCTCTTACCTTTTTTTCTGTTCATATAAAATAAAATAATATGTTTCATTAAAGCAAATGCTAAAGAAAATCCAAACTTAGGCATGTCATTTTAATTCTCTGATCTGGTTCAGGTTCAGTTCTTAACTTCTTCCCTTTGACCTCTAGTTTTTCTGTGTTAAAAGCTAGTATGTCCTACCCTGCTGTGTCCCTGCCCAGGAAAAACCACTTTGAAACCAAACCAAAGAGTATCTCCCATCTGAGATTGCTTCTTCTCTAACCTGTAAGCTCATAAATCAGAGAGATGCTCTTCACTCTGTAGCAGCCCTCCCCCAACCCTTGCTCTATTCCAGGGCACATCCCCTTTATCACCAAACTCCTCTTCCCTCCCTCACCTCATTCTTTCTTCCTTAAAGGACCCAGACAGCTAGCTCATCATCCCCCCGCCCATTTAAAAATCATTCCCCCAAGTAAAACAAGTTTCTTTTTTTCCACAGCATTTCATCAAAAACACTTATCCTGATGGGTAAGTGGTAAAAGAAAAGAATCAAACATAGAATAACTCAGACGCTGGTTTAACATAATTGAGAATACGACTGTGAGAAATCAGACAGATTCCCAGCTCTGCCCGTAATTTCAGTGTGACCTTGGGCTAGTTGTGTTATTTCTCTGTTTTCAGCTGTGAAATAGGAAACCAGTGGCACACCATTAGGTTTCAGCAAGGATTCAGTGAGACAATTGACATCAAAAGGTGTTGAGCACTAACCATGGCACGCCATTGGTACTCAGGAAATGTGGCGCTTGCTAGTTTTTCCTTTTTTTTTTTTTTTTTAGTTTTTCCTTTTGTTCCTAGTGACTTCCAGGTGACAAGCCTAAATGTGTATGGCTGATTTTGTTTGCCTCAATATTTACTGTTTTTTCGCAGATGTGCTTGAGGATCTGTCTGAGTGAGTGAGGTGTCCGCTGAGTCATCCCAAGGATGACGCACCACAGAACTCCAGCACCTTCTGATGGTCATTATCTTTCTTGGCCCTCTCTTCTTTCCTCTAGCCAACAGTAAGTCGGAAGGATCACCTGTGCTCCCCCATGAGCCCTCCAAGGTGAAACCAGAAGAATCCAGGGAAATTACCCGACCAAGTCGCCCAGCTGTGAGTGCTTTTTTCTCAAGAGTTTTGAGCTCTTTTCATTCACCAGAGAACCCACAGGTTAAAGTAGTTGGGGATGTGCTCATGACTCAGAAACAAAAGTTGTTGAGTTTATTAAGAACAGGTGCTAGAAGCATCTGGAAGGAAGTCATACCTGATTAGGAAAGAACTCATCTGATTCAGGATTGCTCTCCTACCTTTGGATATTTTGCAGGTCATTAGCACTATGTTTGGAGAAGGAAATGGCAACCCACTCCAGTACTCTTGCCTGGAGAATCCCAGGGACAGAGGAGCCTGGTGGGCTGCCATCTATGGGATCACACAGAGTCAGACACGACTGAAGTGACTTAGCAGCAGGAGCAGCAGCACTATGTTAGGAAACAAAACAGGAAGAGAAATAACTCCTATTATTCCATGATTTCTACTCAGCAGCTTTGGCAAAGAGATGTTGAAACTAGCAGTTAAGAATATTTGGGCACTGTCTGTGGATTTCTCTTAAATATTCTGGCCTTTCCTCCACATTATTTTCCATATAAATTAATATTGCAACATTTCCGCTGCTCTAGGACTATATTGTCTGGACCAAAACTTGATAAGCATGATCTCATAGAGGACCTGACAACCTGAAATCTAGCTTCATTGCTGTAACACATCAGACCCCAGAGATAGCCTTAAAGGAATAAAAAAGAGCTTGGAGGCTGAAATTTCAAAGTTGGAAATTAATTTGGGATGACTTACTATCCACTTGTTTTATCTGAATTTTTCAAGAGTCTTTTCTATGAAATGAATGTGAAGATATTTTGTTTTTTTTTACCTTTAAAAGTAAGGAAGTGCAGTGAGGATAGCAGTGAAGGGAATTGACACCGTTCTGGGTAGAGGTTCTCCTTTCCCTTTTGCCTTTATCAGCTGTGTACTAACCATTCCTGTTTTGTGTTTAACCTGCTGCCTTTCTTCTGGTCTATTCCCCTCCCGTGGATTCTTCTGGATTGGGTTCCTCTTATCTCAGAGCTATAAGAAAGCTATAGATGAGGTTAGTATTATCTTTTCTTGGTCATGCTTTTACAAGATGTGAATATAAACTGACTTCCTGAGGTTGATATTCAGAAAGGTGGCCAATTGGATCTAAGTTTAAACCTCATTCCTTCAGAGTGATCTGCTGGGAGGAGAATACCTCTCCCACAAAAGCCAGCCTGAGTGCCTCCGACACCTTTTAAACCTCCAGAGAATCCTCCTAAGCCAAAATGCCACTTTTCCAGTGTTCCAGTCTGGCTGAAGATATGCATTAGTGCTTTGATACCGGCAGTTTCTCATGCTAGTATCTTCCAGTAGCAAATCCTGAGCTCTTCACCTCCACTTGCCTGCCTGGCTAGGCGATGGCGGTTTTACTAACAGAAAAAAGAGACATCTTTTTCTAGGGCCGTCCAAATTTATAGAGTGTGATTTGTGAACAAGGAGTCACTGGATATCGTTAGATTAATTTTGTGGGACATTAACTACAGCATCAGCAGCAACATCACCTTTAGTTAATGAATCCTGACCAGTTAAGTAACTTTATTTCCTTATCAGTGGAGACATTTTTCCATTAGAAAAATATATGGTTTTGCCGATCTTAGGTAGCTTGCTAAGAAGGACGACTGCCTCACTGCTCTTTGTCAGACCTGCATGAATACAGCATAGTGGAGTTGTTTTGGAAGAGACAGGCCTTCTGCACAGAGTCTAATTGCATGAAATGTGGAGACTAGCATTATGGCTTTCAGGCTGAACTCTGCTGAGCACCATTTCCGTGAAATGACATGGAAAAAGCACTGGCTTTGGGGTCAACGAGCTGCATTCAAATTCTGGCTCCCTCAATAAATAACTGGTGGGGCCTATCTCACAAACTCTCTGGGCCACAGTTTCCTCATCTGTGGGGATAAAAGCACCTGCCTTGCCTTACTCACAAGATTGTTTAGGTTCCCTCAAGATCATGTGTGTCCGAGAGCATTTTCTGAAGTGTGAAATGCTATGTAAAGGCAAGGCCTGAGGCATGGGACTATTTTGGTGGGAAAAGCACGTTTCTATGTGTCTGATCTTTACCAAAAAGCCTCACTTTTTCAGAATTAGCCTCACCTTACCATTCAGAATGACTTAGAAAGTTTTCATAGTTAAAGAATTATTGTTCACAAAAGAATTAGACTCCACATGTCCACAGTGTGTGGGTGCATTTACAGAAAGAAAAAAGGGAATTGTTCTGAATTGCTGTGTGCTGCAGCCTTGCCCCTCCTCTTCATAAGAGTGAGAAGGATAGGGATTATCACAGCTCTTATCAGCCTTCTCCCACACAGTTCTGATGCTCAGGCTACCAATAAAATAGTTGTGTGTGTACACAACTCAGGGTTTTCTCTTATGAGTCCAGAAATTGGCTTGGAGGTGGCTGTCTTGAGGAAAAGGACTCTCATGGATTTCGTCTGGCTAACCGAGGCTATTTTGGGCTTTTAAAAATTGCTTTATTTATTTCAGGATACTCTGGCACATTGGGCAGAGATGAGAGGTAGAAAACAGGTATAAGTAATTGAGAGGATGTAAGCTGTGCACCAAAATCTTGGAGCAATAGATGATTGGGAAAAGCCCTCAAGGTGATTCTTATAACTCTATCCTTGACTATCGCTTATCCCGACCGCTGAAAATATGGGATTCCTTGGTTCTACATCACCTGCTGGTCCTCAGCGAGGAATGACTATCTCCCAGCTGCCCTCCTCTTAGGAGACGTTTGCAAAGTCTAGAGTCAGTTTGGGGTCCTTCTCTGGTGTCTCAGCAGTAAAGAATCTGCCTGCCAGTGCGGGAGACATGGGTTAAATCCCTGAATCAGGAACATTCCCTGGAGGGGGAAATGGCAACCCACTCCAGTATTCTTGCCTGAAAAACCCCATAGACAGAAGAGCCTGGCGGACTACTGTACATGGGGTTGCAAAGAGTCGGGCATAACTGAGTACGCACAAGAGTCAGTTTTGATTGTCACAAGTGGGACATGGGAAGCAGTGCTATTGGCATGTTATGTGTAGAGCAGAAAGATGCTGCTAAATATCTTACAATGCACAGGAAAATAACCTGCGATAGAGAATTATCCACTCCAAATGTGGTGCCACAGTGGAAAAAACTTGACTTAACTCTCTCTCCTGTCTTCATTCCTAGGTTTTGATATGGCTTCTCCAGTCTCCAGTGACTGATGTGCCATTTAGATAACCCAAGATTGAAATGAGCAGTCTTAAAGTGCCAAAGACAGAATTGCTTCTTATTGCTAAGTTAATGGTTTGAATTCTCATAAAAGTCAGTCTGGGGGAGAGTCCATTCTCTTGGCATTCCTTCCTAATGCAGTGTGAGATTGTGCAGAGTAGTCTGATTATTGAATATACCTTCCAAAATAAATATTCTTTTCACTTTAGCACAATTAAACAGATGTCATGAAGATTAGATACAAAAGCAAACACTGGCTTTACTAGCATTTTTTTTTCGTTAGTATTTAGAAATCTGACAATTGGCAGAGCACATATATAGACTGGACAGAACTGGAACAATAACAGGTGGTCCAAACCTTTTTTTCCCCAGTTGAAAATACTGATGACAAGTGACTTCCCCAAGTCATATCTTTACACTTCCTAAAAAGGAAATGAATTATTTTAAAAAGTAAAGAAAAGACCGAGACTTCCCTGGTGGTCCAATCATTGAGAATCTGCCTTCCAGTGCAAGGGATGTGGGTTTTATCCCTGGGAACTAAGATCCCACATGCCTCAGGGCAACAAAGAGCCTGCATGCTCTAATGAGGAGTCAGCACAGCCAAAAATAAAAATAAGTAAATTTTAAAGAAAGACCAACTTTAAAATTTTTAACTGTTATTTTAATTGTTTAAAAAATTTAACTGATTTTCATAAGCTATATTGTTTTTAAAAAGATAACTAGAAGAGCACCTTTTAAAGCAGAGTATGCATAATTGTCAGATTAAGTAAACTTTTTTGAAAGAAAAATTATACCAAGTTGATTCTAAAAAGTATTATATAAAAGAAACCTTTGGGTAAGAGCCCCTTAACTATCTGTTACTCTGTAATCAGAAAACTTACCATTTTGCCATATTTCTTTTAAACTTACATATTCTCAAATATTTTCATGGTAAATAGCACCCTTTTTCTCTTTTTTTAATACTTTTTAGCTCCAGGCTTGTGACAGTCAAGCAGTAAATTACCACAAAAACTCATTACATGGAGAAAATGGGTATTGTCAGAAAATAAAACGTATGAAAATGGATCTGAACCCAATGATGTCAATTTTAGATCATGTTTGTTTCCTATAACTTTACTATTGTAAGTTTCTCCAGGATAGATGAATAAGGAACAAATCTTCAACTAAACATATAGACTATGGGCAATGGAAGATTAAATTTTTTTTTGGCTGGAGTTTCGAGTTACCCTTTATTGTTACCTTGGGATTTTTATATATGTCTCACCCACCATGCTATTACCAATTAAGCTTAAAAGGAAATTGCAATCATTTGTACTGCTTCAGGAAAGATAACTTTTTAATAACACAGAAACCAAAAAAAAAAAAAACCTCTAAGTGAAATTATAAAGTGTGTCAGAGCTTTAAAGTGTTCCTAAATACAGTGTTTGGAGAAACTTAGGTCATTTTAACAATTGAGAGTTTCTTTAAATCAGTGAGCTTTGGACAAGCTAAATATTTCTAAATAGTTTTCATTTTTTAAAATCTTAATTGTCTTGTTTTGAAATGTCAGCAATAAGGAAAACTAACCCATGGGGAAAATGAATTATTAATTTAAATAAATAAAAGTTAATATTATTATATTTTATTCAAAATTATTGACACTACAAATAAACTCTTTTAAACCATATTCTCTCTTTAAGTTATAATAAAAAATTTTAATAAGTACATTTTAAATACTAGATATAGTCTTTGATGAGACATAACATGGTCCTAAGATAGAGAACAAAAAATACAAAATAAATTTATCTAATTTTTTATTATTTTATTGGTTTAGAGGATTGTAATGTCCTTTTTCATTAATTGCCTTAACAAATATCTAAACTGTATTTTCTCAATGTGCTCAAGGGCATAATACCCTTCATTTCTCCTCAATTTGGTAAAGGTAAACATTGGCAATTATTAAAAGGGAATAAGAGGTAAAAAGCTGAAATCTGAATATTAGCTTTTTGAATTTTGGCTCATTGCCAAAGAAACCAATAATAAATTTGCATAAAATTCTGTGCCATAATTTTTCTCCTCATTAACGGTATACACTATATTCAAACATCTTTTGAGTCTTTTTAATCAATTTTGTTTTCATTTTCATGGATGGGATAAATATATCCACTGAGAGTGAGGCCATGGCTATGTTGCATGTGTGTAAAAGCCCAGTGAGCATGTTTGTGTGGAAAATGCACAATTTGAATTTTCAGAAGCTTCCCTTTTCCAAGGGCTTCCATTCAAGTGACTACAGAACAAATATTGAAGTTGTCATTGCTGTCCCTTTGATTTTTATGAAATTAGAAATAAATTCTTCACTTAATTTCCTAAATTTTAACCATGAAAAACCTGAACCATCTTCTGCCCTTAGTCTTAACCAATATATCAATGCCTGACATATAGGCATGAGTAAAGAAACAGGATGATCTGTTGTCTTCTCAAAATAAAATTATATCTATAATTTAGTTACACATATTTATCACAGTTTTTCTTCTAACCTATTAGGATAGATCATCAGATGTTATTTACATCATCTGTATTACTCTGACCTTACATCAGACAAATTGGACAAATACATTTTTGGATTAAAATAAAGAGAGAATATGGCCTTAAGAAAACTGTGGGATTTCGTATCTTCAAATGAGTTTCTTTCTCCCTAATCCCCTGTCTCTCACTGAATGCTCTGATTCCCACATGGGTCACTAATATAGGGAGAAATGGTAAGACTGATGTCAAATTGCTTTTTCTTCATGTGCATGCTGTGTGCCAAGGGCAGTTTAACCCATGCAAATAGAGCGACCGTGCTTTTGCAGAACTGCTTCCCTCTGCATTGCTCTGAAAGCATGTAAACTAAAAGGTAGTCAGATCTTCAGCACACTGCCTGCCATGTGCCTGGTGACTAAATACCACCTCATCACATCCATAAGGCTAAAGGTTTCATCACACTCATGGGAAACTGAAACTTTACCTCTTCTTTTTGGTGTTTGCACCTTCATTTCTGTATTCTTTGCCAGGATTTCTGCCAGTTGACTGCAGTTTAAAACAAAAGAAACTGAAACACCTATCATTCTAGAAAAGAATTCTTTTTCTGTTTGTTTTTGTTTGTTTTTTTGTTTTATTTTGTTGTTCCTCTTGATTAACTCAGCTCTGTGGCTATCACTTTCAGTGGCACTGGGCTTTGGGGTGGGCCATTTTTTGACACAGTGCCTCGGCTCTCCAGGGAATGCTGACGCACCAAATGAGTCATTTAGTAGCTGGAACCTTGGGAATTGCTCTGTTCTGTGACTGATGCTAGATTAGGGTACAGTAGCAATCATAATGAGGAAGAGGCCATGACTGTGGCTTGGGCAGCGATCCCAAAATACTGGGAAATTATTTCTAATCTTGTGTATTTTCCCATTAACTCTGAGGGTGGGTGAGCAACTTCACCTTCCCAAAAGATGAACCCAGAGTCTGTATATACGTATACACACACAGCCCACATACACATATATACATGTGCAGATTCAGAACCCAGCAGTCTCAGTCTAGTGAAGCAATTAGTTGTAAACAAAGTTTAAATTTATTTCATCTTTCTTTTCTAGTTTCTCCACGCTGCAAACATCGTTTTCTTGGTTTCATGCAGTAACTATGTTTGTAATGGTTCTATAGAGAGCTTTTTTTTTTTTTTTTTTTTTTTTTTTTTTTTTTTTTTCCTTGTTGCTTAAGCTGGAGACTTGCTAAGAGATAGTGTTTTGCTCATATCTATGTCATATCTGCTGGACAAACTTTTCTTTTGTAGGATCTGACGGCGTTGGCCAAAGAATTAAGAGAACTTCGGATTGAAGAAACAAACCGCCCGCTGAAGAAGGTAACAGATTACTCCTCCTCCAGTGAGGAGTCAGAAAGCAGTGATGAAGAGGAGGAAGATGGAGAGAGTGAGACCCAGGATGGGACGGTGGCTGTCAGCGACATACCCAGACTGATGTAAGACACCTGCTTTTTCATTGTAGGCCAGGAGGAGTTAGGTCTCCAAAACAAGAAGACAACAAATGTGAAATATGGGTCTCTGGCAGGATCGGTTGACTTTGGGGATTCACATACTTTTTAGAGCATTGTTCTACGTTCACCCCTTCTCCCTAGATACAGTAACGTAGAATATGTAGTGTTTCAAGGACTGCATATACTTTATCTAGGCTTTTGTGAGGCTGACTGTCCCTTGGGTGATGTCCCTGTTGGTTCTTGTCATCTCAGGGCAAGTGATATTGATAGTCAGACCCTAAAACTGAAGAGCGAAATTATAGGCAATAACATTTCGAGGTTAACATTGATAACGTGAGTCATATATTTCACCATCACCACCACCGCAAAGGTGGGTGGAATGCAGGAGACAGCATGGGTTAGCATCCCAGCAAAAGCCTACAGTGAAACCTCTGAGAGTTTGACTTAAATACACTCCTGTTAGGATTTTCTACTTCATCTTCTCCATTGTCTCTTTTATGTGATCCTTTTTGCTGCCTGACTTCACCACGTACACTCTTCTTTTTTAGATATTTATAGCTACCTAGCTTTCCCTTAGTATTTGCAGTCTTTCCTTCTTCTCTTTTCTTTTTTTAGTGAAGGGGGCTCCCTTTTTCTCACTGGACTGGATCCTTTTACAAAAGAACCTCTCCTCTTCCCCTTTACTTGCCCAATTCAAACAATCATTCATACAAGCATACTCACATAGGTCTCTCATTTCCTCCCTCAAATAAACACAAGGCACCCAGCTCTGGTTTGCTACAACTTTGATAAAGAGCAGTGCTGACTTTTCCACCTTCATTCCTCTTCACTTTCATTTCTTTGGTTCAGCTACTACATTGGTCATCACCCCACATTTACTCCCTGTAGAGAAGATGCCATTTCAAGCCACAGATGACTGTCCTGTTCGGCAGAGACTGGAGAGACAGGACCAACTAGTCTGCTGGAAATGTCATCCATTGATTAACAATCCTGATGTACAAGCAGTTCTGAAAGACAAATCCAATTATCATAGCTGAAAAATCCATACTTGTTATTTTACTGCTGATTACCCCATTATTGACAGCCATAAGTATGCTAAAATATGACATTTGGAAACAAATTGCTTTAAATTGTTTTTTTAACAGCAAATAAAATTGCTCTAGCGGTGAAATCACTAATACAGAACATTCCTGCAAAATATGCTGGTCCTTTCAGTTTTTGTCTTGACTCAGCATTGATTCATTCTTCTACCAGATGTTTTGAATTCCCTTTAAGCACTGCGCACACAACTCTGAGGGTGGATTTAAGATTGATAAGACATCCACTATGTGTTAAACCCCATACTTTGAGACATTCAAATTATTGAGAGGGCTTTGAGACATTCAAGAAGTATGTACATGAGTTCTGCTTTCCAAAAGTTTACATTATAGTTGGGGCTTTCCTGGTAGCTCAGACAGTTAAGAATGCACCTGCAACGCAGGAGACCCAGGTTCAATCCCTGGGTTGGGAAGATCCCCTGGAGAAGAGAATGGCTACCCACTCAAGTATTCTTGCCTGGAGGATCTCATGGACAAAGGAGCCTGGTAGGCTACAGTCCCCATGGTCACAAAGAGTAGGCGAGAGACATGATTATACATGGAAAACTTCAGAGTAGTATAAGTATTTGGAAGAACAACCAAGGACCACCTTGGTAGAGATGTTAAATCTCATTGGGCTTTTAAGCCTCCTGTCATATTTTGTAAGGCTGTTAATGGTGTTTATCCTCTTATCTCTAGAGGCAAATCCATCTCTTGGTGGGTAGAAACACCCATCTTTCTAAAATTGCCTAAATGTACCATGCTGCGCTATGCCTCATCTGCTACCTGGCACACTCTTGTTACTTTAGAGATTACCTATCATAGCCTAGTACATTCAGCAGAGTCCATGCTGTCTCTGTATTGCATGGAGTCTTCTATGTATACCTGCCACTTCATGGAGCACCTCAAATCGGGTTGTTTATTACTTGTCGTCTCTCTCTGGGCTGTGAGATCCTTGGTGAGGACTGAGCCTTATTTACTCTCTACTCTTAAGACCTTGCCTGGTGTCTGGAATGGAGTTGATCCTCAGTGACTTTGATTTACACATTACTGCGCTGAACTGAAGTTGTGTATCCTGGCTGTAAAGCATTTATAGCCTAATCCAGAGGGAAGACATGTACACAAATAACTATCATCAGGAAGGAAAGGAAAACGCAGTAATACCAGGCGGGATGCTTGGGCGGTGGCGGGTGGGGTGCAGGGGGCAGCCGGGAGAGTTGAAGTAAAGGCACAGAAGGTTAAGTTTGGTGGAAATACAGCTGGTATAAAGGGGAAAGGTCTGGACTAGTGACGCCAAACAGCGAAGTGTGCGCTTGGTCATGTAGCCAGCAGGGAACCACGGAAGGTGTCCTGAGCTGGGGAGTGATGTGGATGGTGCCGTTTGAGAGAAATCGTTTTGTCAAGGTGATTTGGAAAGAAAACAGACTAGATACTGCTAAAGTCATTCAGAGGATTTATTATTGTATTCCTCAGAAGTAATCAATAGGCTATAACTGAATGCTTGTAGTGGAGGCAGAACTTGATGGGGCTTTTGAAGAATTGGTAAATTTTAGGCAAATTGACACAATTGTCCATTAAAGAACACTTAAAATAGTTAATTATATGTGAAACACACTTAAAGAAAAAGCAGGATACAGATGTGTGTATGTGTATTTTATTTGCTAAATATAGACATTTTTGTGAATATAAAATATATACACTCTGTTCTGCTGTAGAATGAATAGTTATATGTTTAAAAAACTTCTTACTATTAAAACATCCATTGTTTCTTTAGGAGTAAGACATTTCTGAGGTAGATTGCTCCTTACATTCTTATCACTTTTGCTTTCCACCCTTAAGATAAACCTTCACATTTCATACTGTGTATTTTTGGAGCAAAAAATTAAAATCTGTTGCAGCACAGTTCGCTACCATGAAGTGTACACTAAAGAGCTTTTCAGAAATGGAGCCCTGCCATTCCAACAAGCAGCTGTAGATACCGATGTGCAAAACAGTGACTTCTATATAAAATACTGACTTCATATTAGTAGTGTATGATATAACCTGTAAGCTGCATATAAAAAGACTGTATTCCATAACTAACCAACTGCACTATTTCCCAGTGCCTCAAGCCTAGGAAAATAATGAGTTGAAGGGAAATTCCAAAAGCGGTTACCTCCTAACTAAGCAGGGCTTCCCAGGTGGTACTAGTGGTAAAGAATCTGCCTGCCAGTGCAGAAGACATAAAAGAGACGTGGGTTTGATCACTGGGTCAGGAAGATCCCCTGGTTCTCCAGTATTCTTGCCATACTAGCCCCGTGGACAGAGGAACCTGGTGGGCTACAGTTCCCTGGGGAACACAAAAGAGTTGGACATGACTGAAGCAACTTAGCCTGCACACACACACTGGATTATACTACTGTAAGGGATGCTTATATATATGCCCAATTTTATGATGTTGTTGTTGCTGTTTAGTCCTAAGTCACGTCCAGCTCTTTTGCAACCCCATGGACTGTAGCCCACCAGGTTCCTCTGTCCATGGGATTTCCCAGGCAAGAATGCTGGAGTAGGTTGCCATTTCCTTCTCCAGGAGATCTTCCCAATCCAGGGATCAAACCCGAGTCTCCTTCATTGGCAGGCAAATTCTTTACCACTGAGCCACCAGGGAAGCCAGTTTTATGGTGAGCACTCACTGTTTTTATAATCAGGAAAATAATAAAAGCATTATAAACTAGGAAGGAGGGAATGATAGCCACGTTAGCTGATTGGCATCAGCCCAAGCAAGCTGAAGAGGCAGCCGTTTATATCAGCATCTTCCCTTGTGGCTCAGCTGGTAGAGAATCCACCTGCAATGCGGGAGGCCTGGATTCAATCCCTGGGTAGGGAAGATCCCCCGGAGAAGGGAAATGCTACCCATTCCAGTATTCTGGCCTGGAGAATTCCATGAACTGTATAGTCCATGGGGTCGCAAAGAGTCGGACAGGACTGAGCAATTTTCACTTTCATTTTCGCTCAGGTACCATTTCATGCTTTAGATGAGTACATGTGGAGTGCAGTCTTCATCACTAGGACCATCTATTTCTGTCATAGTCCTTGAGTTTTGCACAGTTTCATAAAGCACAATCTGGACAGTGAAAACCACATGTCTCATGTCCCCTCTTTCCCATCCTCACTGGAAAGCAGGGGTTCCGCCCCGTTCACCACCCAGGCTGTTGTTGCGCCTCTCCCCCACCCCGCCTGCCCTCCTCTCTGCTGTCCTGTCCAGTGTTGAGACTCTGGGCTGTTGTAGAAGCGTGGCCATGGTTCTGCTGTCTGCCTAATGCCTTACAACAAAGAGTTCTTTCCACTCCTGGGGTGGTGACACAGCATATGCTGCAGCCAAACTGACCTTCTCCACCTTGTTTCCAAATGCCTTGCACTTTCCCAGGGTTGTGCCTCCTCTTGGAATGACCTCTCCCTGTGTTCCACATTCTCACATCCTGCCTCGCTTTGGAATATTTGCACCATGTTTTTATGCTCTTCCAGATGCTAATCTCTTTAGTTTCAGGATCGTGTCTTCTTCAGCTTTTATATCCACTACCCAGTGCCAAACTGAGGGCCTTTCATGTAGCAGGTGTTCGATTAATGTATATTGAAATTGAATTAAATCAATACCTGCAGGAACACTTTGACAAATCCAATTAGAGGAAATTATTGTTCTAGACATGTGGCCTAATTACAGTAAATTTTCTATAGTTTTCCTTCCAATTAGTTGATGTGTTTTGTTTTTTACAGTCTTTATAGAAATTCAGACAAATGCTTGTTCCAACCCAGACTCTATATCAGAAAAATAATTGTTAGAACAGAGGATCTTTTCTAACTGTAAGCTGTTATAGTTGTTTGAGCCTTGGTGTTTTTAAACCATTGCTTTTTAAAATTATTATATTATTA